CCGCATCGGGCACAGCGGATCTCGGGACCGAACACTGCAGTGACAGATGCTGATACAAGTGATCGAGCGTCTATAGAGACGCTCGATCGCTTGACTGTGTTAAGCTCCCGGCCGGCCGTGTAATTACAACGGCCGGTCGGGAAGCTGCTCGTCGGGCTCCACTGTCTGCTCGTCACAGACGAGTGGATTTTTCGAGCCCTGTATATATATATATAAATGAAATATGTTCTTCAACATGTTAAACTTCATGTTCCAAGAATGCAAATACACTGCCAATAACATCAATATATATATATATATTAACTAGGAAAATAATAAAGTCTTTGGACCACTTCTTAATACGCTTGAGTTTTTAACTGCTCTCAAGTACATTTTACTTATCAATAACTGTACTGCCAAATCTGCACGGTTCCCTTTATTTGTATATCTATAGTACCTCTAGCTATTAATAATTGTTATGCTGTCTCTTTTTCTTCTGTCTGACCCTGTTCATTGCCCATCTCCACAGACGGCAATTCCTGAGGTTCTTTGACCTTTCATACACACCGAAGCGGATTCCCAGAGACAAAACATTGATAATACTCTGGAATTCGTAGAAAACATTGTTACTCTGGAATTCATTCTGAACATTAACCAGCTCCAGGGAATAAGGAATACATAATTTGCACCTTTAACAAACAGACTATGGGAACCCTTCTCCTGCGTATGATTGCAACATTGAGGAAGAACTATTTTCATCTCGGATGGTTTGAATGCACTATTTTCCGTTTCCTGCCAGACTGGAAGCTTGATAAAAAGCTAGAACGGATGTCAAACTATGTAAGGTTTAAAGAAACCTGTACTAAGAGACTATAGAGGCTTATTATTACTAACCTCTTCCTTTAAAAATGCTAGTTGCCTGCATTTGCTTGCTCAGAGTCAGTGACTTAGAAAGTATTGGAGCCAAAGACAGCCAGGCAACTCTTATTTTTAGCAGAAGACCAGCAGTGGCAGGCAGGATCTGTATTTTTTCTCTGTATTGGTTTAAATATATGTACATGATCCTGACAGATTAATGAATTTTAACTGTATAAAGATATGTATTGTCAGTGGAAACAGTGATTCCGGTTTCCTTTATTGCAAGAGTCATTGAGAAAAAGGAACCTCTAGTGAATTACACAATTACAAGCAGTTGTTAAATAGGTTTCCTCAGTTTGGGCAATAGGTTGTCCTTTAATGAACAAATTAAAAAAGCAGCCTGGCCTAATTAAAAGATCACTTCCTTGATATTTTAATCTGTTCATTTTTGGATTGTGTCTGCAGTTGTTCACTCTGAGAATGCAGAATATATTTTCTAATGGTGTAATTGAAAAGAAAATGAGAACAAAACGGAAAATGGTGCCAGCATTAATCAATTAGGTTTTCTACGGAGAGGATACATATGAATTCTGATTGGCTATCATGGGCTTACATTCTTATTCCTTTCCAGTTCCTTTATATCAGCCCCATAGAAGCTTAAAGTAAATCTGCTATGCAGGACAGGGCAACATGTTTACTTAATTGTCCCCTTCCCAGCTTTCTCTTTGCTTGCCCTGATGCTCTGATCAGTGGCTGCATTTTAAAACAGGAAGCTCTATGTAAACTCCAAGTCATAACTTGGAGCTTACACTTATCTGAGGGCTCTCTGCATACCACAATATGACAGAGCGAGGCCAAACACCAGCGCCCTGATATGAGAGGAAGTGATGGGATCCACTACTTTGACAGATCCGCATACTATTTCTTTGCCTTCTGTATGGACAAAGCACTGGTTCACTTGTATTAACAAGTATTACAGTATAAACTCTTATTAAATGAAATATGTTCTTCAACATGTTAAACTTCATGTTCCAAGAATGCAAATACACTGCCAATAACATCAATAAGAATGTTTCAACGTTAGCAATGTTTTTTCATTATCATTTGAAAGTGGCATTACTAGTCAGTAAAGAAATGCCTGTTGTATGTGCAATACTAAAAAATGAAAACCTTCTTTATATTGTAAAGGGACCTACTAAGCTCCTAAGTATGTGCAATAGTGGCAAATTACCAGCACACAAGTTTACGGTACACTGTGCACCTTATTTCATAAAAGTGTAAGGGGTAATGATGTGCAGTTTTAACACAGCATTTCAGAAAAGGGGAGAGGGAGGCACACTAAAATAGTGGGCTTTGCTATTTGGGTGCAAGGTCTACTTTAATCCGACTACACTAGGATACATGTTTATTTCGTTGTTGTTGTGGATTGTAAATTTCATTCCTCTTTGCCCCAGTTATTAAATAACACTCTTGAAAGTTTATTAAAAAAAGTGCCAAGGGCAGTGATGTGTATGCAAGCTCTTGTAACCAAACAGATGTTGGCTTTTATCAGTATGTAAAAATCTGGAAAATGAAAAGCTGGTTTCTGCTTGGTTAGTATATGTTACTGCACTTCATTATGCCATTAAATAGTGTGACACCACATCCACTTCTGTAGTTATTGACAAATGATTCTGCTTGTGTTCTGTTTGTTAATCACTAATACACCAAAAAACATACAGAGTTATTCACAAAAGGGTGAAGAGTTTGGAGAAGGCAGGAGAAATGAACAATCTAGGACAACATAGCTGAACTGGAAAGTGAGCTGAATTGAAGAATCTTTCCAAATCAGCAATGTTGTCCTAGATTGTTCACTTCTCCTGTCATCTCCAAACTCTTCACCCTTTTGTGAATAACCCTGATAGACTCATATGGATTATTTGATGCCAGTCACAGGCACAAATCACAAGCACAGACCTAGACATTTATGTTTGAGCCATAACGCATTATACACAGCAGAAGGGTCTGGCAACACATTGTATATAAGTACTGCATGCCTAGGCTATGGGTAAAAGAGGTTTACACAGTGTATTTCTGATAATGCATTAGGGTGTCTTGTAGAGGGCTGATGCAAAACAGGACAATGAGAAGTTAAGACCAATAAGGACATTAACTTATGTTAGCTAGTCTGTTAAGCTCGGCACTGTTTTACATAGTACTCGGCTGTTCACAATATTATCATTATTTCAGAGATAATAAAATATTTAAGTCTAAATGTTGTCCTGATGTGTTATGTATGATTTCCCAATTGTTGGCAGACTGCTGCATATTTATTCCAAGCACTTCAGAAAAATGCTCCATATACAGGTAATTCATTATATAAATAACCGCAATGCCTGGTTCTATACTCACTGCCTACAATAAATGCAGTACATGCATGATTCAATATACACTAAAGTACTTTTTCTTTAAAATCTAGGAGTCTACTGCTTTTAAACTAACGTCTCTGTCTAATGTTTCTGAAAAATAGAACAGGAAGTGCCACATTAGTGTAACAGTTCAGATATAGTTTATTAATACTCTCCATACATGAGGCAATGGGGTTGATTTACTAACCTTATAAACACACCACGAACATGTATACACCTCTGTAGTGTGTTCCCTCCCAGCATGATCTATGGGTGGAATCTAAACACCTTTGTAGTGTGTACACACCCAGCAGGTGTGTTGTGCAAAGCCCTGCATGAATTTGCAAGGTGATGTTGTGTAAATTAGCTCTATGTTGTGTTGCTTGCGTTGATGAATGCAGGAATGTAAATGCATGAGCTAACCATTTCTGTCTAAACTGTGAAGCAGCATTATATATGCATCATGTGCATGATTTTTCCATATATGGCATTAGTGGAAATATGCTTTTAGAGACTTTTTGGTTGATAAATACGTTTTGCTGTGTAAAAATCACACGCACCTAGTGCGTGCGTGTGTTTAGGTTAGTAAATCACCCCCAATGTGTTTTGGTGGTTCTACACAGCCCCCTTTATCAGTATTGGAAATTATGGTTTGAAGGTTATCTGGACTTTTGAAAGTATATCTTTTGAGTGCACAGTTTTATAGAGAGGAGAAATCTGGTGCAGTCCATGGTTTGGCTGCCAACTCTCTTCCAAGACCCCTAATGGTTCTGGTATGCCAGGGAGTAACCTTCCTTCAATCTATTAAACACCAAAGATTATACCCAATGAGGACACCATATCACATCTAGGGATCCAGCACTCTCAAAACCCTTTTCTTCTATTTGTTCCATCTAATTTGTGGCATAGAAAACTGGGACATGGGACACATACGTCATGACAGTTTAACTTTTTGTCCTTGTCACCTGCAGTAACATCAGCAGTCCCAAAGTAAAGACTTGAATTTATGGCTGAAATATAACAGGGGGTTGTGCTGAAGTCAAGATACTCCATCCAAAATGTTGAATGGAATGTTATGCTTTGTGCTCTTCAAGAGAGTGAACATAAGAACCAGATTTCTGTAAAGCATTACATTTTCAAGACAAAGCCAAAATAGACTGTATAAAATAAGTTATATTTTCACATGGTTATGAGCAGATCTGAAACATGCACTTCGTTTATATATGCTTCTTATATATGTTGACTGACTTAGTTTACTAGATGCATGGTGGGAGAGCACAAAGGAACTGATCAGCTTTGTGTCCAGATTTAATGGGAGTTGCTGTGCCACTTTTGATGGGAAGTTCAAAAATATCTTTGTAATGAGGCCTGGGAACTAAATGTTCTTCCCTTGAAGAAATGGTCAAAGGAGAATTTCAAGCAAAAGAAACAAATTCAAACGGGAAAAATAACAATAATTGCTTATCCACATCTACAGTTTTTCCTTGTGGATTCAGGGTTTGCCAAAAAAAAGAAATATCAGTCCACATGGGTCTGGCCTGCTATAGCAGGCACTGTTACCTTTTCGGCTATTTATTTAAAGCAGGGATCCTTATACAATATTGCTCCATTATTGGTGTCAGGGGAAAAGTGCCCTATCATAGGTATCAGTGGGAGGAATAGTTCTCAGTCATTGGTGTCAATGTGTGGAATATTGCCCCAATTCTGGTAACAGTGGGAGGAATAGTGCCCTATTGTTTGTGTCAGTGGGAAGAATAATGCCGTATTGTTGGTGTCAATGGTAAGAATAGTGCCCTATTGTTGGTGTCAGTGGGAAGAATATTGCCTTATTGTTGGTGTCAGTGGGAAGAATAGTGCATTATTGTTGGTGTCAGTGGGAAAAATAGTGCATTATTGTTGGTGTCAGTGGGAAGAATAGTGCCTTTTTGTTGGTGCCAGTGGGAAGAATAGACAATTAGGAAGATGTCACCAGCAGTGGGAAGAATAGTGCCCTCTTGTTGGTGTCAGTGGGAAGAATAATGCCTTATTGTTGGTGTCAATGGGAAGAATATTGCCCCATTGTTGGTTTCATTGGGAAAAATAGTGCATTAGGCCACAGTTAGTGGACCGCTGATTTAAAACATAACCGTAAAGGCAAAGTTATCCTTTAATATTAAGGGATGGGGCTGGAACTATGTACACCTACACAGACTGTAACTGTAAGAAGATATAATATATGTATAAAACTAAGTTCTCTTTTTAATTCAGAATTTTAGAAAGCAGCATCTTAAGGAATCAAGAATAAAGCACAGAAGAGCCCAGTACTGTAGATTAAACACACAAAAACTGGCAAAGGAGTGCTACTACCTAGAAGATGTTATGAACAAGTTCTTAGGTGATATATGTGGGAAGAAGGAGAATCACTCACTATTTAGATGAAGACAATGGAGATCATCTGATGGTAGAATGGAATGATGGTCCAATCTGTGGGAGGATTCTTTACTCAATGTGGGATAGTGGCCAAAAAGAACTATGTAGTTGGAGTCTGGTGGATCCTGAAATGTTGGGCAGAACCCTGAGCTAACGGCTGCAGCTTTAAATGTTGTTTCCCAGATGTGCTTGG